TCCGACAAGATTAAGAAAGCGCTACCAGATTTCCGCACTCGGGCACTACTTCCTATATCCATATCCGGAGAATACCAATAACTTGCCAATATCGGCATCACTGGCGTACTGAGCGCAATATAAACATTTATGGCCCAATGTGGTGTCCTTCCACACTCCTCGTCCACCGTTCGTCCCTTAGAGGTTCTCAAATAATACGGGTATACGATGTTGTATCGACGTAAGTAGAAAAAAAGATATCAATGAAAAGCATCCCTTAGAAAAGAAAAACGCTAGCACCTGCACACAACTGTACGAAAGTTCCGTGTAGCAATATTGAAATTTAAGTGAAATCAACCCCCTGACACTCTGAGAACCTTTTCCAATTAACAATGAGAGCTGCTGCGTCCTGGGACATCTATAAGACATGAAATGAAAGAAGGGTGGGCATCGGTAGCCAATGTGGTTGCAACGTGGAGTATCGTCCTTCCTTACGAACGACATAGGGATTCACCCTTAGTCTGTCCTAGGAGTGAGTATCAATGTGCGAAGCCAGGTTGGCATGTAGACGTGTGCGTCGGGGACACTTAATGTTTCTCTATCTATAGCGGACAGGACAGGGTAGCAAGGATATTGTTATATACGACATTTGCGGAGGACCAGGGTAGAGAAGAGAGCTGGTAACACTGTGTGTTTATGTGAGTGAGAGAGAGAAAAGAAAAGAGAGAAGAAAAGAAAATACAAGAGTGCCAGAGCAGGAGCTCCAAGAGATATCGTCGACCACCAATTACTGGCGACCAAGACTTATTGAAAAGATCCCCATGGGCGAAGCCTCGTAGAATCACGTTTCATATAGCTAATGAACACCGATTACCCTTCTCGGCGAGTAGGTGCAGCAAGCGTCGAGTATTTCTTGTAATTGGAAATAGCGATAAGAAATTGACTTTCGGTGGAGAAAATTCAAAATTTCAGTAGAGATTATAATATACCAGAAAACAGTGTGGTGGCTGTGCCCGTAAAGAGACTTTGACAGGGTGTATAGTGTGGAGTATACGGGAAACTGACAGTGGCACGAAATCAAAGGCCACACGCGATAAATTAGATTGTGTAAGTTGCGGAGGAATTGTATCACTTTGACGTTAGATTCGATATTTCGGCATAAAATAGCTTAGACGCAGAGAATCCGCCCCACTGTATTGAGAAGTAAACGCCATAATTCGGTAACACCTTCAACCCCCGATATAAGGGAGTATTAGTTTTGATGCTGCCTCCTCGTAACACGTGGGCTGTCTGGCTCGTAGCTCGCCTTACCTACTACCAGCGCATAGCCCGTAGTAGCTTCCAGCTCTCATACCTCATGAGCCGGTATAGCTCGTTGCTTGCAGCGAGCGAGCGAGAGAAGATTCTCTTTACCAATTTTCCTCCTCAAAGCTCCATCGTCTTTGATCAGCTCTTGCAGCGCCCCTATAATGTCTCCGACCCCTGAACGACACCCAACCACCCCCCTCCGTAACATTCTGTGTTTCTTCCCTGTCACCGTTCGTTGCATCCGTGTACTTACTCCTCGTCGAATTCCTCAGCCAAGTGATCCAATATTTTATCCAATCGCAGTATAATTAAGATGAATCCCAAAGATAATAAGTTTTAATTAATTATCTATATATTTGATCGTCGAACGAGTCCTCGAGTACTTTTCACTTATCCGTCACCATGGCCGCGGATACCTGAGTCCTCGCGGAGGGCACTTGGCAACGTGAACGGATGGGTTGAAAGGGAGAATATAGAAATGGCTTTCGAGATTCAGACAGTTTCTCGTTAAAGTAATCCGCTTGAGTTTTCGTGAAATATCGAAACATATAGAGGCCACGAGTAATCTCAGAGGCGACGATTGCCAATCTCGTCGAGTCCTGGAAATAATATGACGTCGTCGACGTCGCCTCTCGGAATCCATGCCTCGATCAGGCTTACGCCAATGAGAGGGATGGCATTAATTATTCCCTTTAGACTACGCGTGGTACGATCTCCCAGACTCTGTTCGCTGTCGCCATTAATTTACATTGCTCGAACCATCCAAAGTACTCTGTCTCAGTTATACCAACCCCTCTGGATATTTACCGTTCATCGTCTCCCTTATCGTTGGTAATGCCTCTTTTTTTTATCATTAACATATTTATAAATATCATCGTATACCCTCCTACGTCAGCCGTCTCCGGATCCATCCCCCTGGCGGCTACGGACGGTACCATTTCCCTCAATTTCCTCAGATCGTAGCTGATGAAAGGAGCCCGTTAATTGGGAATACTGATGCCAGCGCGAAAGAGTATTTTGGATCAATCCTACGTTGTGCCGTATCGTCCCTTGACTTTTCTCAGACTCCCTCGAGCTCCCAACCAGAGAGGTTCACCAGATTCTCCGCGTCTCCGCCCATATACGAGAGATCCTCGCGGATGATAAGACCAGCAGGACTCCGTCAAAGGAACCTCATTTATGAGACTTTCAGCAAACAAATGGATAAATCTAATATCGCTCCTCCTATCGTCAAGAAAATTTCCCATCCTTGAAAACCTACAAGACGAGTCCATTATCCGGCAGATCACTCGATTTTATTCCCTCTGACATACCCAAGGTGGTAAAACAGATTCGACACTGAAATTCAGTAAAAAAAAAAGTACACAGCGAAACTCCACTTGAATTTTATCCCTGTGCCAACCGAGTACACGTATCCAAGTAAATACACGTTAATTAGGACTTAGGCTAAAAAAACGTATCGGCATTGAAAAGAAAGGACAAAGTCACCACGAAAGTTCAGTTGGCCTAATTGAGAATAGTCTCATTGGCCCCAGGCTCAGATATGAATTTCTCAGCTAAATTTCACAGTTAACAATGTTACAAGGGGACGTCAGCCGTATCTCTCATAGAAATCGGCAGCGGTCCAACGATCAGCCATTTGTACCGAGTCACTGAGAATTACGCAGTAGTTGTATACGTACAAGGCATTATTAGCACGTTCACGATCGACGTACACGTGGTTCCCCCTTTATAAGCAAATGGCCATTTTCGCTCCGCCACCATCGATCGGATATGCCTTGAGTGCATCCCGATTAAAAAAGCATGAATTAGCCAGGCACGTCACGCTAGCAGCATCTGTTGTAGCGACCAATAATACGACGCGGCGCGATCCTCAATGTACATCGTGCTGGTGCATCTTGCGCGTATCTCTACACGTTAACGCGCGTACATAATATGGCTGCGTAAGGCAGCGTGTACATACGTGGGTCGCGGGCGGAGATACGTACTACGACCTATCTTAAGTCGGGATCAGTCTGGGTCGGTTCTCCGTTAGTGGCATTTATAACTCATCATTATTATTTGAGTTGATTTGAAACACGCGCGTCTCCCCCTCTCCTCACTCCCGCCTCGCTCCATCCTCATTCCCTCGCCATTCTCTCTTCCGTTTCTGTCTCTCTCGCTGCTTCACGTATACACCCAGCATCCTACTCCTTCCTTCCTCGGGCAGCATTGAACCCTGAAAGCAGCTGCCGGGTAACTTGTACTTTTCACTGGAGTCACCGGGTATATCGGCACGATTGTATAACGCGCTACAGTGGAGACCGATACCGATAAGAGAGAGCCCTTATAGGTCCCAGCCATGTCAGGGAGATGACACTAAAAGTTAACTGGGGTCGATGGGAGAGTGCGGGAAATTTGTCACTATTAAATAAATAAGCCTATAAACACAGCGGAGAGGTCGATCCTCGCGCGAAGCACGTTAACGCCCGATACCTTAGACGGCTGTTATTTCTCATACGAGGGACCCGTCTTACGATCACCGCAGGAAGTGGGCTTCTCTTAAAGAGAGCGGACGGGACGTCACCGATATGGACCGTAGCCAGATAGAGAGAGACGAGTTGGGAACTTGGAGCTTTTTATGGTCTATAAGTTTATCTTATACGCGCGACCCCGGTAGATCGGATCTGATACGTCTATTATGACGTAAATGGTTAACGATCCGAGCACCGATAATGTCCTTTCCCACTGTAACCAAGACTTTCCGCAGCATCCGTACTCTCGATGATTCTTCTATCTCGCAGCATCCAGCCACCACGAAGCACAGTTCTAATAGCCAGTGACTATCAGCTCGTCCTAACGTGGCTTCTCGATTTCACTCCCGAGACACGTACTATCAATTTACATAGTGCCGGACTTGCGTACGTGTGTTCGCAGATGCATTCGGGGAGGGTGGACCACCGTCAGTGGTCCAGATCTTTCGGTCGGAGCGGCTTTGCTCTTGCGAGAGAAGCCGCGCGTGCGATGAGCCGATACGAAGTAGAGCGGCGAAGACGAAAGGGAAAATTGCTAAAGTGGCGGTATGGGGGTTCGGGTTGGCGGGTGGGGATGTGATGGTTGGGTTAAGGGTGAGATGGGGGGCGAGGGGGGGTGGTCCGTCGATACAAGGAGTCGATTGTGGACTGAAAGGCACCGCCGGCCTCGGCACGCCACCACGCTTCAGAAGCACAGTGGCTGTCTGTGCCCAATAGATTCTGATGCTGAGATACCGAACATCGCGCGCCCCATCTCGAATGGCGGCAGGGCTATTAGCTCTAGCTTTGATTGGCTCCGTTTAATGGGCCAGGCGACACGCATATAAATTGCTGCTTGCTTTGAAGATATTTTGAGCAACCGAGAACTAACGCCGCTACTCGATTTCTGTTCGCTATTATACTGCGACGCTCTCCTTGGCAATTATACTTCGGCTTCGTGAATCGGTTCGGAATTCTCTGCTAGGTGGTCACCGACTTGGATGACTAGAGAGAAATTGCTGAGGAGGATCTTTGATGCCGCTGGAGAATTTCCGTGTTTTTCTTTTTTTTTTCTTTTTTACTTTATACCCTATCTAATAACCATAGAGAAATTACGTGACCCGACTGCCGTGAAGTTTGCTGCCGCTTGTGAAAAAATATTGAAACAGGCGAGCGCTTCGATTTTTATTTGACAGAACTTCGTAACCTCCGTTTCGTAGGGATATCGGTGAACGCGGTGTAGGCGGGAAATTCTTTAGGGATTTAAAAAAATCGTTCTCGTGAATCCAACTCGTATTGAAAAGTATAGTGATTTGTTTAGTGAATTGCCGTTTGCTGTTTAATTAATTAATTGTTTGTTTCATCGTCTCGTTAATCATGGAAATTCCTTCGCGTTCGGATGGATCGTCCATGGAAAGACTCACTGAGAGAAGTGTGGGGGGTCAATCGATTTCTAAGGAGTCTGAAGACGAGCTACAGGATTATAACAGATCGCTGTCCCTGCAGGGTGACTCGTGTGTAAACTGTAATCAGACAGTCAAGGTATATTTAAGATTGAAGCCTGGATCAGACAATTACGAAAATTCGGACATGTACACGATAACGAACTCCACGACGCTCCTAACAAAATTGTCTACTGCGGAAGGTGCAGGTGGTTGTCAAAAAAGGGGTAAACATTTTGAAAATCCTACAAGACGTTTCACGTTCGCCAGGACCTTCGGTCCCGAGTGCTCGCAGGCCCAGCTGTTCGATCAGGCTGTTAAGCAGCAAATGGTAGACTTCCTGACAGGTCAAAGTTCGACGGTTATGAATTACGGCACAATCAATGCTGGAAAGTCGTATACCATGCTGGGAACACTCGCGTCACCCGGTATAATACCACGTGGTATAAAGTTGACGTTCTCTACGCTCAATTGCACTTTATTCCCTTGGTACAAGCCGAGTCCGCTGAACGGTGCGATTGGATTGGTTGAATCGGAACGAATTCATGAGACGGAATTAAGAAGAAAATTTATTGCTGATGCGATCGACAAGACTCAGTGGATCACGGCTTTTGAAAGTTTCCAAACTTCCGGTATAGAGGGAAACGAAATTTTCCAAGATGCTTTGTACTCTGTATGGGTATCCTTTGGTGAAATTTATAACGAAACTGCGTATGATCTTTTGGCTGAAAACGAAAGTAAACACTTACCGCTTACCATGGTGACAGATAAGCATGGTTCTACCTTTATCAAAGGGCTTAGAATGATATCAGCCACGACCGATATGGAGGCTTATAAGATTTTTATGATCGGTCAATCAAGACTGAAGGTAGCTTCCACTATGACGAATCCCAAGAGTTCGAGATCTCAGGCGATTTTCACGATAAGGCTATTGAAGTACTTTAACGATTTTTCACCCGACGAAGTCGAGATCAGCTCGATGAATTTTTGCGATCTGCCAGGATTCGGTCAATCCAGAAGAACGTTGAATATCGGCAAGAGACTCAAGGAGGCGCAAAATATTAACAGCAGTCTCTTGGTTCTCGGTAGATGCTTAAAGGCTGTTCTCAATAGTCAAATGTCCAGGGAAAATGGGGAAATTTGCGCTCCGTTTCGCGAATCCAAACTTACGAGATTGTTCCAGAAAGCCCTTTCTGGGAAGGAGTTCATATCGTTCATAGTCAATTTGAATCCGACGTCTGATCTTCATGCCGATAATCAGAGTGTTTTGAGTTTTTGTAATATTGCCAAAAAAATAGCAATCAACCCCAGCATGGATCTGAGAAAGTCAACAGTTTCAGAAATAAATTTTCAAAGTTCTCATACAACGATCGGTAAATTGGATAAAGCTAAGGATGAGATTACCGAAAAATCCTGTATTTCGGAACGAACCGGTTATGCAAAATTGAAAGGAGAAAACGAAATGCTGAAAAAGGAAGTTGCGAATTTGAAGAATTCAATGTTCAGTCGCGAACTGGAAGTTCGACAGGAAATGGTGCAGTCCTGTACGGAAGTGATAAAAGAACTAGAAGCAGAATGGAGAAGTCACGCGAAGGAAGTCGAAAAACATCAAGAAAATTTGCTCAAGTGGTCGGTCAATCAAGTTGAGGATTTTTACAAGGAACGTATTTCGAATATCAATCAAAGAAAACGTAGACGTACGGAGAACGGTAAAGAAAACGAGGAGGATAAAGCGACGATAGAGGAATTGGAGATTGAAAATGCTCAATTAATTTCCAAAATTCTGGGACACAAGGAAACCATACGGGAATTAACGAAGGACAGTACAAAAATAGAAACAGAAAAAAATCAGAGCAATTTCGAGAATAGTCTACTGAGAAAGGAGTTAAAAGATTTGCAAAAATTCATAGAATCGTCACAGGACGAGGGTTGCGACGGTGAAAATTCGGAATGCTTGACAGATCAATTAAAGAATTTGATAAACACCAAAGATGATAAGATCAAGACTTTGAAAAAATCTCTCGATCAATCCAAGGAGGAATACGTAAGGATCAGTGCGGAAGTTATAAGAGCGGAAATGGATTTACTAGGCTCAAAGAAGGTCCTATCGGAGAATTCAACCAAAGTGAAAAACCTCGAAGACAAAGTGTCTGAAAAATCAAATTACATAGGTATGCTCCAGTCACAGTTAAACGTTCAAAGAAAACAGCTGATTGATTCGGAGATAGAGATCCAGGAGTTTCAAGATAAATTGAATAAATCCGAATTGAAGGTATCGATCCTGTCGAGGAGAGTGGAGAAATTTGAAAACTCCGATTACGCGCTATCCGCGTATGCCAATGCGAAAGGCGACGACTCTCTTCTAGAAAATGACCTCAATCAGTCGGACAGTAAATTGCTACTGAAGGAATCGAGAAGCGAAGATAACAGTAAGAACGATTCCGGAATAATAGTAAATCGCGAGAGCGAAAGTCAAAGATCTACGTGCACGACGAACAGTATAAAATCAGAGAGCGATGACAAAGGTAGTCAAACGATTGGATTGGACCAAGAGACCAAAAAAGGGATTCTCGAAGAACTGGAGTCGTTGCAGCAGCAGCACGAGACTCTGAAGGTGAAACGGGTACAGGAGATTCAAAAAACAAATGAGCTTCATGAGGAATTGGAATTTTTCAAAAAGGCTGCGAACGTTCACGAAAGGAACACGGATACGTTTATGGTCCAGGCGAAGGAGTACGAGCTAAAGTATAGAGAGGCGTCGAAGGATCTGGAAGCTCGTTCTCGGGAGTACGAGAACGTGATCAGGGAATTACGTGAGAAACTGGAGATCAGCCAGGAAAGTGAAAATCGTACATCGCGATGTCTGGAGGAATATCTCGAGAAGTCAGACTCCCTGGGGAGTCAGTTATCAGTGGCGTACGGGGAACTCGAAAGAGCCTCTGTCAAGTGCTTCACGCAGCACGTGCCCAAAATTGATAAGCTGGAGAAGGAGTGTCTTTCGAAAAGCCAAAAAATTATTCAACTGGAGGAAAGAATCGTGGAGTTGGAAAAGGACCAAGTGAAACTGGTGGTAATCAACGACAGATTAAAAGATTTGGACGAACTTTTCGAAAGGTCCAATAGAGACAAAATGAACAGTCTGGAGGAGATCAATCGGAGAAAGGAATTTCAATTATTTCTCGAGGAGAAGCTTGAGGAATTCAAGAAACGTATAGACGAGAGGGAGCAAGAAATCGCGTCGCTTCAAGAGAAGCTGCAATTCATTGTTAAGGTGAATTTAGAAAATAGTGAATTGTCCAATGATCTTGGTAAAAGGATAACGGAATCGACAATGAAATTGCGTACTGTCAAGCAGGAATTGATCAGATCGGAAGATGATCGGAGGACGATCGAACGAGACTCCAGACGAGAAATCGGTAAGCTCAGAGCGCATTTACTGGCACTGGAGAAAAATGCGGCATTCCTCAATGCGATTCACCAAGAGGACGAGTGCAGAAGGAACGAAGTGGACGGACTGAAGATTCTGCTTCAAGAGAAGGATCGTGAGATGAATCTTCTGAAGAAGCACAGGGACAAGACCATCAGAAGATACGAATCCTTAGTCCGGCATCTGCAGGGGAACGTGGAGAGATGTAAGCAGGAATCGATGAGAACGAGAAAAGTGCAACAGAAGAAATTGCCATTTTACAAGCAGTGCCAATTTTCCGAGTCAAAGTACGTTAAGGAGGACTCGAGTATTCGCAGTTCCGCCAGTCTGCAAACAATCGATACGTCGACACCAAGGGGATGGAGAAAGTTCAGTAGAAAGAGGGAAAGTTTTATAGAAAACAGTAAACCCCAAGAAGTATGCTGCACTTGATTCGAAGAATTAATTTTTTCGAAATTCCAAATTTTTTTTTTGCGTTACAGGTAAAAAGGAAATCCGACCTGGAAATAATATCTGGGGAGTATCGAATTCCTGAGAGAAACGAGGATTCGTCGGCGATAACCGTTTCTACGACTGACGAATCCCTAGACGAATACCATAGAATAACAAGGTGGATGGAGATACGAAGAAGCAATGGAAAAACGAAATATTTGGTACAAAAGAACGAAGTGTGCATAGACGTCGAGCCGGATGATGATTTTCAAAAAGTCCCAAACGCGGAATTCTATCAAAGATAAATACTGTAAATACCATTCGTTATTAAATATACGCTTGTACGTTACCCACGCAGACTGGAATCAAACCATGAAACATCCCCACAGACTATCATAACTCATAGTCAGATAATCGATCAGTAATATTATTGGCTTACTCCCGCTATTTCCTTTTCCCCCAAGACAAGATCCTAATAGCAAAACCTAGTTCCACTAGGTTCGTTACAATAATCTCACCCCCATAGCCATAGAGACTGACGATATGGGGGGTTTCCGGACGTTCCAGATTTTATTGGCAATATGCCATAATTCCCGACATTAGATGCCGCTGACGCTTTCCTACTCATTACCAGGCTATGGTCTCTACGTGATCTTTTTCATCTAGTTTTTCCCCTTCCGTTTCCCCGACCCCGTCCCCTGTCCCCGTCTTTTTGCGGCTTCTGATTGGAAATTATGACGAGGGTTATCGAAATTGGCCAGCGTCCTGAGCAATCTCCACCCCCGCCCCACGGGCCAAGGGGTGGCTGGAAGATTCCAGGGACAGCCTGAACGGCCACCCCATTTCTGGCACTCGGTCAGATTTCAAGGACCTTCAGGTCGGCGTCGTCGCCGTCGCGATGTCACTGCCTCCACAGTCTCTGCACCCTTAGTGTAACTTTTGAACGAGCGACTCTTGCTTGCCTGGCCGCCTTGTCAAAGGGGTGAGAGGGGGCTGGTTCTCGTTATCGAGAGGGTTGGCTAAGCTCCTGATTCTCCAGCCCTCTCCCTACCCCAATTCCTTCTCTCATTTTCCATCTTTCTCACCCGCGCACCCCCTAGTCGATCCACCCTGACTCTCGTCCTACTTACTACCACTAGTGCCACTAGCAGCAGCGATGGCGGATTCGCGAGGGCCATTCTCGGCGGCTTTACCTCTCGCACTCCGGTGATTTCTCCGGGCAAATGTACCGCGAACTTTCCTCTTTCAATTGGCAATAAGATTTGATCGTTGCGGGAAATATCATCCAATTTCCTTTCTCTCCCTACCTACCCCGAGCTAACCCAGAACGTAGCCTGGGTCCTACTGACGTTCCTATACCTTCCCCGACATCCCCACAGCCTCCCGGCTGACATCCCAAACTTTCCACAGTCCTACTTTCAGCATACACCGACAACGTAGAAAATAGATTCGTCATTGAACGATGTAATTTTCGAAAATCCAAAATTCCCACAATTACTCAAAATTGATATTTCTACAGGGTAACCTGAAATTTTTATAGACCCACCCATGAGGATGGAATTTCGAGTGACGATTTAACTGAGGAAGGGTTAAGAAAGACGAAGACAGCGAGAAGGAGGTTAACGGGGTGAAGGAGGGTTGCGGCAATGGTTGAGGAATATGCGCCAGAGTGCTACGAGAATAAGATGAGAAGGGAGGAAGTAGAAAAGGGGTTAAAGTCATTCGGGCAAAGTTTCCGCGAGACATTAGTTTATAATTCGGCAATCCCGGATCAGTATTTGTCACGATTAGCTGATCCTCTTCTGCGACAATGGCGAATAAGGGTCTCGTCGAGGGTGAGCCCGAGGTAGGACGGAACCCCCGGGGTGGATCCTCCTTCGTGCCACGAGTTTTCATTAATTTCTCCAATTCGACCGAACTATTGTCGTAGTTACGCACAATTTCGAGGCGACAAAGCATCCGCGCCCTCGAGCCCTTCCTACGACCTGAGATTGACGTAGACGTAGAGAGAAACGTAAGGAGTTATAATAACCAGAGAAAGGGCCAAGTAGAAGTAAAGGAGAACAGAGTTTCAGGGATGCGCGATGTGGGACGGAAGGTGAAAAGAGGGGTCGCAGCCTCCTATGGATTATATTTCGCGTGTCATTTACCCCATGATTTAGACCGATGATGTTTCTTCGAGGAAGCAAGGGGAGAGCGGGGGAGCGTGTTATAATTTCTCACGCGTTTACCTAACCTTTCACTGAAGCCGTCAAACAATCCTTCGCACAATTTAATATTTAGACATTTTTCATCGCTAATACCACCGAATTATGAACCACCGAGGAACAAGTCACTCCTTGCCGTTTATCGTTCCATTGTCACGTCCCAGGAAGCATCTGCCATTTTGACAGCCAGTGACGTAAATATCGGCAAGAATTAGGGAGAAAGTTGCACTCGCGTGGCTGAGAGTCGTGAACGCGGCGGGGTTGCGGAGGAAGAAATTGAGGATATAGACCGAATGGGAGAAAGTGCGATATGCATATACGCGATACGTGCAGAAGACAAGGAGAAGAGTATACGGAGCGAGATACGTAGAAATGGAGCAAGCGAGCGGGCGAGCCTGCGAGCTCCGAACAATAAGCAATAATACGTAATGCAATTCAAACGTTGAGGCTGGCAATACTCCGAACCCGACTGGTACAATACCGGGAAATGCAAGGCAGGCATTTCCTGCAAACGGGAAAACGGAGACAATCGTACAATACGAACGGTTCAGTCTATTGCATATTTGCCTTTACGCAATTCCACCGTGTTATTACGCAACCGCGAGTTTATCCTTGTCGTACTCTCGTCCTCCTCTCGTCTCGTTGTAGTAATCGCCATCGGAATTCTTCTCGGTCTCTTTCCCATGCTACCCTACTCCCACCCTAAACTGCCGGATGAGGATCCGGCAGAGACTTCCATCCAGCACGCAGGTACGCCCATCCTCGTCGTTGTCGACGTCATCTTCCTCGTGATCCTCGTCCATATCGGCGCCAAGGTACACGCGACATTTTAATTTCCACATTCCCAGGGACTCGGAAGAGCACTTCCGGTGCCGAAGGCGTCGAGAGGACCTTGACGCTGGGACAGTGGAGCGACCCCTTGGGTAAGAGCAGACGGGATGACGGGAGGGTGTGGAGGGTGCGGATAAATTGTGGAAAGGGGATGAAATCGTTCGTTCTAATATCAGACAACGAGCCCGAAGCGAGAATGGCGACGAAGAGAGGAGAAAGCGAGGAAATTGTCTCAGTGATATACTGAACAGGAAGTTCCTTATATTCCAAGTGGCACACGTTTCGAATGGAATAATTCGACGGTGGTTAAATCTTACTGCAGGAGTAAAGAGGATATAGCCATCCAGTCCGTTCCACGTGTTCCAGTGGTCCAGAGGATTACGATCGGATCCACGAAAAATTCTTTCGAGAATTAACCGGACCAAATCTTCGGAGTACTTTGAATATCCCTATAGAGGGTTCAGCGAATTGGTCGGGCAGGGTCAAAGGTCCCCAGGGCGAGCTGCTGGAGCAAAAGGAGCCTCAGGCAATCCGCAAACGCCGCAGCGTTCCCTCGACACAACTTACCGGGATTTTATTTGTTTTTACATATGCCACGGGATACGATAAGAAAATGCTCGCGATATTTCACGTTTTTATATCCGAAGCCGTTTTGCCTTGAGGTGTTGGCCGGCTCGCATCCCTTGGCCCTACGGGAACGGGGCGTCGCGACGGTCCTTCGTTCGCGTACGAATTTTATACGGCGGACTGATATGCGAAATAAGTAGCCCCCGGCGTATGGACGAGCTCACCCTTATTATTAACTTACTCGATAGCTCGCACGTATACGCGTATGACGATATTTTCGAACTTTCTCCTATTGCTACAATTTTGTCACTTTTTTTTATCACTCCGTCTCTTTTCCTCTTATTACTTCCTTACTCTCCTTCTCTTATCTCTGTCTACATATACGAGCAGGCATAAACGATTTTCTATGGCGGCGGAATTATCCGTATGTAACAAGACGACATGGCTGTATGTTTCAAGTGGCTATTGAGATCCTTCTCGAGCTGCCCTTATGACTTGGCTGATATTGGAGGCAATGAGGCAGGCTACTTTTAACAAGACGACTTCAAACCCTCTTTGCCATTTTGCCATTTCGCCATACAGCCCGATATCCACCCGAACTCCCGATGCGCCGTTCGTTGTTATGGAATACCATAAAATGACGAAGTGCGCGACGAAACCATTGATCTCAATTTCTTTTTCATAACAAGCTCTCGATTATACGAAGGGACTAAGTCTACTTTTTTTTTTTCTTCTCTCGTCCTCCCTTCAATCATCCTTTTCACTCATCGCTATACGCGAACATCCCCGCTGGAACTTTGTCCTATGCTAAAAGCGGGCCAAGAGTGGGAAAGAGAGAGATGAGGATAGCTCAATGTACCTAAGAAGGATCTCGCGTAGCAGTGATGCTGGGCTTCGAGGACTCCTCGCGCAGAGTTATCTTGAGAAATAGTCTTGGCACGATTGGCGCCCAAGGTATTAAGATTCGCGAAACAAAGCGGCGATTTGTCCAAATTTATCGGGCCAGCCGAGCAATTAGGCAAATAAGCAGTCTAAACGGAATAGACAAGGGATGAAACGGATGAAACGGATGGAAGGGATGGAAGGGTGTAACGACAAACAATTTCTCGACGAACGGCAACAACATTTCATTCCATTTGTTCATCCACCGACCCCGTCTTTCACCCCCCCCCCCTCC